CAGTCTTGGTTTTCAGCGATTCATGAAGGCATATTCGTACATGTAGATACATACATGTATCTGTGTCAGCGTGTATGCATAATATCCGTGCATACCTTGTTTTTTAACTTCTGTTTGCTTCTTTTTTGAGTTGAATGCATAGGTTTAGAGCTTAAACATAGAACTTTTAGCCGTCATTATTTAGCTTATATCACAGGATGAATATCTCACCTCTTTTCATTTAGTACCATTTTCTGGATCTAGTTCTTGTTGGACCAATGCATGTTTAGGTGGCTGATCTCACTTTAATGGATAAGTCATGGTTATTTTTTCTTTTTTAAAATCGATAAGTTACAACTCCTTTACTATTGAATTCTTTTTCCAGAGAGCTTCAATATCATGTGTTGTGACGTAGCTATCAAGATGCTCCCATGCTTGTACAGAAATTAAAAAAGAAAAAAAAATAATAGAATGAAATTAGATTAATAATGGAGAAAGACTTATTTTCGTGCAATATATATATAGGTCTACACACATATATTACTCATTTAATTGAAAAAATCATAAGCAATTTTTGCATCAAAAGAAACCTTAAGATAAATTCCTTCACTTTCATAAGTTTTGGAACTTATTAGCGAGTCTATCAAACCCCATTAAAGTATTAAGTACCAAAGTATCCATAACCTGAATCGATCATGAATTCAACAAAAAATTAAAAGAAATAAAAGTTGATATACAATAAATTGCAAAGTTGAAATATAAATCATGATTATTTGATTTTAAGTAAATCAAAATTACTATTGCTTTAGAACCAGAAGAAAATTCAGTTGTGTATTTCATGTTTTGTTTATGCTGCACTATATACCTCTTGAACACTTCTGTATGTGGGTGCTAATGAATTTTTTTCATCTACTGACAGGTCTATTATGCCAGCAGCTCTTGTTTTTTCCAATCTGGTTATCCAGTTTTCAAGTTGTAGTTGCATCACAGGTGTTGCCCAAGACTAGTTATGCATCCTCCAAATTCGAGTTGTCTAGTCCACCTGGTACTGGAGTTTTTGATCCTATTCAAATATCTCCTGCAGTCATTCCAAACTACTCATGTCCTGATGAGCCTTCGCCACCTATCTACCCTCCTTTTCCTATTTCTTTTGAACCAAAGTTAACTGGGAAGTGCACTGTAAATTTCTCTGCTATATCGAGTCACATGAGCAAAACAGCATCTGACTGTTCTCAGTCCATGACACCACTTGTGGGAAATGTAATATGCTGTCCCCAGCTTAGTAGTTTACTCCACATCTTCCAGAGTTACCATGGTATCAACTCTGATTCATTGGTTTTGCAAAACACGGTGGCTAATGATTGTTTTTCAGATACAATTAGTATCTTAGTGAGCAAAGGGGTCAACACTACAATACCTGCACTTTGCGCTGTAAAACCATCAAATCTAACAGGATGTTCTTGTCCAGTGAAAAATGTCAGTGCCTTGAGAAACTTATTAACACAAACAGATTGCTAGATGCATGTAGTGTGTTGAAGATCAATTTGCCAACCTGCCATTGCGGAAGCTGCACTTCAGATCTCAGGAATACAGTTAACCATCAATGATAATAAAAATGCAGTAGGTGAGACTAATCATATTGATGCCATTACTCATTGCAAGGGAGTGGTATATTCGTATCTTTCAAGGAAACTCTCTGCCGATGCAGCCAATACTGCTTTCCGGATATTATCTTCCTGCAAAGTAAACAAGAGTATGGCATTTATTTCTTATACATGGGTGTTCTGAGCATCCTAGGATATTTCTCTTCTTACTGCTTTTGGAAATCGTACTGCCTTTGTCGTTGACTTCTTGTCTTGGAGAATTTCTCCTATTCTGTCAACAGTGTTCTTAATGGGCAGAAAACTTATGAGATTTATCACCCTCGAAAATCTTCTTTGTTTTAGGAGAATTTCTTATACCTTGGTACCTCATCAAGATATAAAAGGAAATTTTAATTCTTGTGATAGTAAAGACATTGAAACAAAACAAAATGAAACAAGTTTCATGTTGACTAATATCCATGCCAAAACTCATGGTTTATCATCCTCATTCTCATAATCCCCTTTTTGCTTTATGCTCTTTTTTGTTTGGTGGAGCTTTTACCATTCACCGCTCTCCTCTATTTCTGCTATTACTTCATATTGATTTTGGGAGATAATTGGTCAACTGCATTATTATTTTTGTGAATGATTTTTCTTATAGTGAAGTAATTTGCATGCTGTCTGTCCTTTGAATTTTAAGAAGCCTTAAGAAGTTATTTGAGCGTGTCGCAGTTTAGCCACCCCTAGTCCTTTGTGCTGTAGCTCAATAACTGAATACATTGCTCGGATGCAGAAGCAAATGTTTCTCACAAATAAACAAACCATAGTCTGTGCAACTGCTTTTGGGATCATGTTAAGAGAAAGTGGTGTCATGACAAATATTTATGAACTCTGTGATGTTGACTTGAAAGATTTTAGTAGACAAGGTAGCTATTGTAAATATATATTCTTCATCTAACTCTCTTTTCTTTTAATTTAGAGAAGTTCTTACAGAAAATTGTCTCTAATATTTTATTTTAGGTGGTTTCATGGATTTATTTATGGTCTCGAGAAGCATGTGGACAAAAAGGTTCGATCTGCTACTTGCTTATTCTACTTTGGCAACTGTGCAGTTTGAGACATGATTCACATAATAAATGTTTATTGCCGCAAGCTTGAGGTTTGAAAAATTGGTCCTGGTAGTGATGCTTCCGAATAGTTTGTTCTACTTTTTACTGGATGTATAAGAAGTAATCTAAGTTTCAAAAACTGAATTACTGTTTCTATGCTTTGGGGTCCTGCTCGCTCGAGGTTTATGTTGCTTTTGTTCATATGTTATTGATACTACTTGCACTAGTTTTTGACAAGATGGATTAAATATTTGATATGTTCTTTCGTTTATATAAATGTAGGGTGTCTGCTTCAAAGCTTTCCTGCCGATATAATATTGGATAATTCAACTGGATATGGTTTTGCATGTGACTTGACTGACGATATTGCAGCTCCATGGCCTTTATCATCCTCATTGGGTTCCATTTTCGATTTTTTTTTTTTGCATTTCAAAATTTGGCTTTGTAATTAGTTCCTCTTTTGGTTTTTCTAATTAAGAAACTTTGGAATTTCGTATTTGGTTTTCAGGTTTTAAAATTTTGTTTAACTTAAAAAAATCAAATTCCCAAGTGTATTTTCCATTTAAAATTTTGGGAATATCTAGAAACATTTGTCAGCCTTACGTGCACCATTTGATTTTTGGATTTGGACTCTTAAATAATTTGATGCTTTTTTTTTTTGTTTGCGTATACCAGACTATATTAATTTCGGGCTTTTTGGGTTTTGTATAGAAACATATATAAAAATCATATGCACTATTTTTGCGTTTGAATTTGGAATCTTAAGTAACTTATATATGCTTTGTGTTCTGGCATTGTATGGATTTGTATTTTTTGTATTAATAATTTCTACCAGTTAACATTAAGGTGGCAAATTATTGTATTTTTAATTTTTTATTTGAAGTAAATAGATTTAAAAAATAACTCTATTGGGTGTTGTATTGTGCAAATGGGTAAATTTTGTTATTAGCTTCAGAAGTGTTTTTGCTCTAATATTGTTCATTTGCTTTGGCAGGCTATCGTGAGTATGTGGTGGTGATGCCCATTTTTTCTTTTTCTTTTTTTTTTTTTTTTTTTTTTTAATACTTTTCAGTGCATTGTTGTACTGAATAGCTGTTATTCTACATATACTTGACTTTGTTGGTATGGAGAAACTTTTACGTGTATATATATATATAATTTTTCAATCCAAGCTTCCATGTATATATATATATAATTTCGTTTTGGTTTCTCCCCTCTTAACTATATTTATCTAGCTATGATGTCTCTGCAACTCATTATTATTATCAGTTAATTTTCATTTTTGGGGAATTTTAGTAATAAGGTTCTCTTCTCAACTTTTGATTGTGTAAAATTACAAAATACTTGTAGTTGAGATCAAATGAAATACCCAAGTCAGACATAACCGTTGGTTGGACATTTCAAGTCAGCATGGCGACGCGAAGATAATAAAGATTAGAAAGTTTATAGTTACCACGTTTCTTGGAAATCTAACAGCGTTTGACTCGTTGGACGCACCATCTTCACGAGAGATATACTAGGCTCGTGAAGCTCTCTAGAATTGCCTAATATTTTATATGTATGTGATATTTGGTTGGGGCTGAGGTAATAGCTAAAAATATGTGATTGTTTCTCTTTTTGTTTTTGTTTTCCATCTATAACTAGTGGCATCAGTTGTCCCTATACACATATACTATATATATATATATATATGTTCAACTCATAGTATAGATGAGATGTCAAAACCATACCGTGAGAAAGTTATATATTTTTAGACAATTAATTAATCAAATCAATGAGATACAATGAGATAAATTTGACCAAGTTGTTGAATAAACCGCATACAATCTTCTTCTCCAAATTCTCCTTTGTGGTATAATTTTGAACAAAATAGAGAAGTTGTTGATTAAGATGCGATGGTTATGTAATTTATTTTTAATAATATGACATTTGAATATTAAATTCTATGTATTTTGTTTGAAAATACAGTACAATAAGTAAATTAAAGACAAAATAAAAAATTAAACCACATTTTTAAAAATTGAAATAACAATAGTTTGTAATGCAATCTGAAATATATATGTATTTAAAGAAGACAGAAGAGGAAAGGGAGGGAGATGGTTAACGATCACTTACCAATTACCTGACAAGAATCATAATTTTAGGTAACAGTTAAAACATGGTTTAACAATTAATCAAATCATGGAATTCAATTTAAAGTTCAAACCCCTCTACCACGTTCCTTTAACGAAACACACCAAGTCGTATCCACCAAGCAAGCGGACTTCCGCCCTAGGTTCTCTCTCTCTCTCTCTCTCTCTCTCTCTTTCTCTCTCCATTCTTTCTCTTTATTTCTCTCTTCTTTTTCCCCTTACGGTTCTCGTTTTCTTGACTTTTCTGATTTTATAGTTTTCTGTAATTTCCTTAATTTGATCCATTACTAGCTATTTCTTTCTATCTTTAACTGTTTACTGTCAATCCAGTTTATTCTCTCTCTCGGTATGTGTTTTTCGTGGCCGTTTGCGTCTTGTTTGATTGGTAGGAAAATGTTGCGCTGAATTAGATTTGTTTGAAAATTGAAAAGAAAAAAGCATGTGCTCACGCTGTTGTTTGATCTGCAGTAATTTAATGATTCAAACGCCTAATTTCCTTTCTATATTTTTTTTTTTATGTCTGTTGCTAATTTGACGGAGCATATGGAATAATTGGAGTCTTGGTTCTCGTCAATATTCGGTTATTTTGTTTCTCTTGCGCCTCTTCGAATTGTAGCTTTCTCAACTTGTTAAGATCAGATGCTTATGGATCATTATGTACTTCGATTGTTGCGTAGTTATTTTGCTTGGGACTATTATCTTCTTTGCTAGCTGATTTCTCAGTGAGGATTTTCAAATAAGCTTTGTAGTCGTTGATAAACAGCTGCGAAATGCACTTTGATTTTGTTTGGATGTGTCGCTTATGTTCTTATTTGAGAATTTAAATATCATAGTTCTTGGGTTTACATTTTGCAGGTTGCTTTAACATTTGGGTTTCATAGGATTTGACGTTGAGAACGTAATTTTGGTTTCTGAAATTGAAATTCGGAGATGAGTCAGAAAGGTTTAATATATAGTTTTGTTGCAAAAGGAACAATTGTTTTAGCAGAACACACATCATATTCAGGGAACTTTAGTACCATTGCTGTTCAGTGCCTACAGAAGCTACCGTCAAATAGCAACAAGTACACATATTCATGTGATGGTCACACATTTAATTTCCTCATTGACAGTGGCTTCGGTATCTTTTCTTTTTTCAACAGTTTTTATTTGAAGTTCTGACTGGAAATGTCTGGTTAATGATGTCGACTTGGTTTCTGTAGTTTTTCTTGTAGTTGCAGATGAATCTGCTGGGAGGAGTGTCCCTTTTGTATTCCTAGAACGGGTGAAGGATGATTTTAAGCAACGATATGGTGCTAGTATAACAGATGGTGGTTCTCATCCCCTTGCTGACGATGACGATGACGATGATTTATTTGAGGACCGATTTAGCATTGCGTACAATCTTGACAGAGAATTTGGGTATCTTGATTAAGCTAACTTTGTTTGTGTCGTCTATTAGAATATTGAAAAAATAGACTGAGATTTTCTTCATTTTGTTTAACAGGCCTAGGCTTAAGGAGCACATGCAATATTGTATGAATCACCCAGAAGAAATAAGCAAGATTGCCAAATTAAAGGCTCAAATAACTGAAGTGAAAGGGATCATGATGGACAACATTGAGAAGGTGTGTTTTTTCTCTTAAATAATGGTACTGGCAATGGAAAAAATATGCAGCTGAAACAGGATAACATGCTTCTCAATCTATATTCCCATAATAAATTATAGTACATCCTTAAGTTTCCCCATTTAATTGACATGACCCATGTTGTAATTTACTCGATGTTATTTTCTCTTAAGGCATCACAATCATTTTTTTAAGGTTATCTAGTCCCTGGTTTGTTTCAGCATGAGCCTCTTTTCTTTTTTTCCCCCTTCAAAAATGTGTGATCATCTCTCGTTTAAATTTTACTGCTGATGCAAATCAAACCATGTTAATAAAAGTGTCAAAATTGACATTTGATGCCTTTGCTTACTTAATCGGAGGATTGTTTATTAAATCCTTTTTTATTGGTCGAAATGTTTCCTGCACCACTTATCTGCTTTTTGAACATAATTGTCAAATCACATTGCTGAAATTATTCTAGAATAGTTACACTGAGATTTATTTTTATTCTAAAAAAATGATTTATTGTTTTTTTTCTTCTTCCACTTAGAGATGCATTAGTTATCTAATTTCTTAGCAAATCGATTTATATTATGTTTCTTATGAAGGGTGGAATGGCAATCATAATTTTTAGCAAGAGTGCAGAAAAGCACTTTTTGCAAATATCTCAGAGGTGTATTTATATGTTTATGTAGTTTATAGATGAAAAACCACTAGAAAGGGACATAAACTGGCTGGGAGCCATAGTATTTGCCTAAATATGGGGAACATACAGGAGTAACACCTAAGAGGAAAAAAATAAAAGAATAAGATGGTAAAGAAAGAAATCTTAGGTTTGGAGCCAATGATCACTAATATTTCAATAAGCGCTCCAAAATCCTCTCCTGACAGAATGGAGTGACCTAAAAAACTTTTAGTTCGGAATCAATGATCTCTAATACTAACAAGAGAAGAAGCAGTGTCCTCAAAAATATGTTCTTCCCTTTCTTCTATATCACCCAGACAGCCAATGGGATTAAGGATATGAGCTTCTTCCTCTCTTTGCTCAAAGAAATGCCATTACAGGCCCAAAATAATTCCGCCACCAAGCTGCTGACAACCCAAGAGTGAGAACCACTCTCATAATTGTCTAAACTTTAGACACTAGAGGAGTGGATGGTTCGTGGATTCATTCTTCCGAAGGAACAATAGACAACCATTGACTGCAAACTCTCTCATTTCCTTAAGTTGTCAAAAATGAAGATTTTGCCCCTGATAGCCTCCCAAGTGAAGAAGAGAGCAATTTGAGGTAATGCCTTCTTCTTCCAGATCTGCTTCCAGGGAATCTGAAAGCTACATTCATCTTATTGCTTTTGTTGACTCATGATCCAGTCGTTCTTTTTAATAGATCAGACACCCCCTTGATTGATCTGACGATTCAAAAAAGGCCATAAGACAGCCATGTAAGCAATCTCCCAATAATTCAGGTTGCAGGAGAGAAATATTTGAGGATGGAGTTGAGCAAGACATTAGGTCCCCAACTATGCATCTTTATCCCTAGCAAGTTCAAAAATCCTCGGCATTTTTCTTTCAATGGGATGGTGAGAAACACATCCTCGGCTTGTCCGCAACTTCTAATGCACATGCTCAAACACTTGATCCTTGTTCCTGCAATTCCACGTCCATAGACTTGTTTCATAAGCTTGTCCGCTCCTAGCTATTTCCCATCCTCTCCCTACCAGGTTATACATAGCAACATCTTGCCTTCATAAGCATCTCTCGGAAGACATAAAATCCAAAGCCATTTCTCCATGAGAGAATTGTTGATTGCCAGCATAGATCTAATTCCAAGCTCTCCCAGCTCCTCGGGATGCTCAATAAGGTCCCAAGCGAAAAGGTGCTACCGCACACACTCCTCCAAACCGTTCTGTAGAAAATAACATTGGATTTTGTGTAGCTTTTTTGCCAGACATGGGGACTGCTACTTGGGATTAGGTTGAGCTGGGTTGGACTTGGGACTGCTACTTGGGCTTTTGTCTGTCCTGGGACTTCACCTTGGACCCAAGAATGTGCTAATTATTGACATTTTATGCAATAAGGAAAAAAATTGAAAATTTTTAATTGTATTAAAAATAATTTAAAATAAACAAGACTTGAAAATGTAAATATGATTACATTGTTGTACATTTGTGTATTTAAGCATTAAAATATAATAGATCATTACGTTGCATTATTTTGTGCTATTAATTGCATAACATTATTATTATACCAAAAAAACATGGTGTAAGTGTCATGTCTAATTCATATGATCATTAATGAAAACTAATGTTAAGGCTTGAAAATATAGGAGATTGTTCCTTGCCAAGCCTAGTCGAAGGAAACTTCTTTAGTTAAGAGATTTGATAGTAATCAAGTGCATCTCTCTCTGCAATAAGGATACAGAGTCTAGATTTACTCATTTGTAATGTATGTGTTAGGACCTGGCTTTGACATGTAAATTACCAGATCCTGAATTTAGGAAAAATATTTAAATTTAAATGATTTTGGGGTAATTCTGAGAAAATTTGAGAGGTTGGGGCAGAATTTGAAATTGAGAAACTATTGGGACAGAATCTGTATTTGAGGAAATAGTGGGGCAGAAGTTAAATTTAAGAAAATATTGGTGCAGAATTTGAATTTTAGGGAAGAAAAGAAGATTCTGAAAAGAGAGAAGAGAGGAAGTCAGGGAGAGAGGAGAGTTTGTAAGAGAGAGAGTGGAGATTTTAGAGGGAGAAAGAAAGATTGTCTTAGAAACAGAGAGACTGTTAGAGAGAGAAAGAGAGAGAAATATATATATAGAGAGAGAGGCTTTTAGAGAGAGAAAGAGAAATTTATAGAGAGAAGAGATAAAAGGGAGAAGAGAGAAGAGAGAAGAGAGATAGAAAGTTTAGAGAGAGAATAATAAACTGAGATTTTATTCTACAAAAATTACATTCCTTAGATTTGATTTACAACTATTATTTATAAACATGAAAGGTTACATGAGAATTTTTATCAACCATTGCAACTATTTGAGTACGTGAGAATTCTTATCAACCATTACAATTATTCATGATTTTCTAGGATCTCAACAATTTCTTCTCCTTGGATATCAACCTTGTCCCCAAGGTTGAAATTCAGCTTCCAACATTTGCTATCTAAGGATATTATTACTATTTATTATGATTATATATAGATATTATTAATTTATATATATGTATATATTTTAATGTGCTACCGAAGAACTTCATGTGGATCTTTTGTATCTTTTCTTCTTTCGCTTCTTTTGTTTCCTTTTTTTTTCATTTTTCTTCTGTTTTTTCTTCTTCCACTTCCTCTTCTTCCGCTTCTCCTTCTTCTGTTTTGTTTTCATCAGTGAGAGACCAAGAGAGAACAAGGGAATATGAGTGACAGAGAGATTGAGTGGTTCGATTCGGTCCACTGGGGTCTGATCGGTTTGGTTCAATAAACTAATTCGGTTTGACACGGGTTTAGTCTGGCCTCATATTGTCTTTGAATTAGTCCGGCTCGAACCAACAGTTTTAGGGTTTTTTCAACTGATTTAGTCATTGAACCGGTTTTAGGGTTTGCCTTGTTAAAAGCCAGTTTACCCCTTTTTGTTTCATCTTCTTCGTCATGCCGCATAGGGAAAAGAAGAGTCCCACTCTGCACTTCGCGCACAGCTGCAATAGAGGCCATTGGTTTTGCGTCCTCCAGAGAGGTAACGTCAGCACTCAACAACTGGATCATCAGATTGAGTTTTTCCTCTATCTGATCGAAATTTTCGCAATGTCGGCCATCATCGGCTCCCATTGGGATCTGGAACCTGCCTCTGATACTAAATTGTTAGGATCTGGTTTTGACATGTAATTCACCGGACCTTCAATTTAGAAAAATATTAAACTTTGAATGATTTTGGGGTGATTATGAGAAAATTTGAAAGGTTGGGCAGAATCTGAAATTTAGAAAATATTGGGGCAAAATTTGTATTTGAGGAAATAGTGGGGCAGAAGTTGAATTTAAGAAAATATTGGTGTAGAATTTGAATTTTAGGGAAGAAAAGAAGATTCTGAAAAGAGAGAAGAGAGGAAGTTGGGAAGAGAGAAGAAGAGAGTTTGTGAGAAAGAGAGAGTGGAGATTTTAGAGGGAGAAAGAAATAGAGAGAGAAAGAAAAATGTTTTAGAAAGAGAGAGAAATATATATAGAGAGAGGTTGTTAGAGAGAGAAAGAGAAAAATATATAGAGAGAAGAGATAACAGAGAGAGAAGAGAAGAGAGAGAGGGATAGAAAGTTTAGAGAGAATACTAAACTGAGATTTTATTCTTCAAAAATTACGTATCTTCGTTTTGATTTACAAATTATTATTTTGGACACAAAAGAGTACATGAGAATCCGATCAACCATGACTATTCGAGTACATGAGAGTTGTTATCAACTATTGTAACTATTCATGATTTTTTAGGATCTCAACAGTATGAGATTTTCAAGTGTGTTTAAGATCCTGGTGTGATGTTAGGTCCTTATCTAATAAATAAAACTCGTTTAACCTTATTTCATATGCTGGCCATAGAATATAATTTTTAGCTGAATTTGTCAGATCCATTTAGAAGGTTTATGGAAGACAAAATAGAATTCAGAAGCTCAACAATGGCCAAAGAAGTAACCACAAGCTCTTTGTCTCTGTGGTTATCATATTTGTTAGTGGGCAAGACAAGCCTGAGGTTTGCAATTCAATTGCCAAAGCCAGAATAAAAACATAAAAACTGAGGAAAAAGAAAAAACCAAAGCCAAATAAATACACTAGTCCAATTTTATAACATTATGCTATTATGCTGAGAGATGCTTGAGAACTATGGGGAGATCTGGAAATGTGATTAGTTTGATGGGATGAGTTTCAGACGCTACATTCCTTATTTTCTTGCAGTTTAAATGTTGCAAAAACATCATTTCTATGATAGAGCATGTTGATTAGTGAATGATCAACCAAGATAAATGAATTCAAATTAGGGTAACCTTAATCTGGTGCCAGCATTATTTGGTCTAATTCCTATAATATT